AAAAAAAAAAACACATCATACTAAAATTAATACCTAGTCAGCTTCGCATCGAAGCTAAAAAGTGATTTTTCTAATTTTATTTTCGTAGGTGATATCTTTAACTAGATTAAATTCAGTTTCTTTTGACGTATGAGCATTAAAATCGGCTTAATGAGAGTTTATAATTTTTATGGACAAATACAAAAAAAATGCATATCATGGTAACTAATAACTTTTCAACTTCAAATCGAAGCTAAAAGTTTAATAAATATCGAAATATACTTATTTTAATAATCGAAATTTTTGGACGAATTTTTTCCATTTACGAAAAGTCAACAAGAGAAATTGTCTCAATTTTTGTGGGTAATGTCTTTAAATAGATACGTTTTGTGATTTTTTGACGTATCGTTGAGAATAATCGGTCTAGTGAGAATTGAGAAGAAGTGGCGACAGAAAATAAATGTAAATAAATAAACACATCAAAGTAAAATGAATACTTTCTTAGCTTCACGTCGAAGCTAATATTAATCATTGCTAATGATTTACATAATAATAACTCACGAACAACTGTTACAATTTGTACGTCAATTTACATCCGTATGAGATACCAGAAGATTCAAGATACCGCACTATTATAACATTTGATTTCGATTTTTAAATTTCAATAAGTATGTCAAATAATCTAATATAGGTTTAAAAAATAAATTTAAAAATACTTCACTCTTAGTCACAAAAACATTCCTAGAAAAAACCACGAATTAGTATTTAGACCACTAAGGTATCATTATCAGCACTAGACAAATAATGATCATTATTTGTTCTTATGATCTTTTATAACCAATCTTGATTAAGGCCATCTTAAGAAAACATGGCATCCTTCCCACTTATCAATATTTTATTGTTTTAGTCTGCAACTTTTCGTAATATAGATAAGGCTTCTATAAGAACATCAAAAAAATGACATACTATTAAAAAAATTATTTAGTAAAAAAAATTTTTTTCCACAACCCCTATTTTTTTCCTTCAAGATAGCTATTCACCAGATTTGTTCCTTTAATGTATATGATAATCAGTTTCATGAAATAAACCTATGCCCATAATACATTTCTTATCAGAATATAACAGTGTTTTTACTTTTAATTAAATAAAATAATAATAATAAAGTGTTTTACAGCTTGTTTATAATATTATAGTTGGTTAATTATTTTTTTAAAATCCAATTTTCTATAATTAATAATATGACACGTTTGATTTCAGATACATTCCATAGAAAACTTCAGCAAGATGGAGCCTAGCAGAAAAACAAGTCATATTCTCAGCAAATATTTGTCTGAGTCAGATAGTGTACAATCAAATAAAAATATTATTCGAGTGGTAAGTATAATATAATTATTTAATTACTAGAAAAACTAAAAAAGCTGAACGTAAATTTTTATGTATAAATTACTTAATTGAAACTATTGTTCTTAAAATTCAGGGATGGTACTAGAACTAAAATCAAGTCTGGCGATGCTGGAGCATCCCCTAGCACCTCTAATAGTTGCACCAAAATTAATAATAATTAATTACAGAATTATACAATTTATAACTCTACATAACCTAATTACTATATTTAATGAATAATGGAAATTGAGAGAAATAATAATAGAAAATCAAAAACAGTGTAATGAATGTCTAATTTTTCAATAAATATTTTTTATGAGTTTTGAATAAGTTTTATTTTCTTGCGTATTTAATATAAAAGTGGATTTTATACTTAGATTATTAAAAAAGATAATTGACTATCAAAAAGCATCTTACCATTACTATTATTGGAAAATATTTCAGAATTTCCTCGTCCTGTACAATTTTTATTGCATATTTGCTTTTAAAACCCTTGTTTTTTGTTTGTTTTTCAACAAAAAACCCCAGTTTTTTGTTGAAATAACACTATTAATTTATATCATCAATGTAGTTTACTACATAAATTATTTCTTATTTATGTATATTATTTAGCTATGGCTTTCACTTGTTGTAACAATGCCATGTTTGGCACCTGGAATGAGTTTTGGGTATGCTGCAATCGCATTGGATCAACTGCCATTGACAGTTAGCGAAGGCTCTTGGTTTGGTATTTATAATTTTATAATATTATTCATTAGTCTACAGTCATTATTATGCATAATTATAAAGTTTTAATGAGTCACACATTTGATTATGTAAGTTAGGTTGCCTTCTTTCTTGAAAAAGGCGTTTACTTTTTCGTAAGTACATCTGATATTTTTCAACTTGAAAGTTTTATAATCAGAATGATATTACTAAAAAACCCAGCACAGGGGGGTCGCGGCACAGTGGTGACGTGGCATAGTTGGATCAAGTAAATGATATCT